GCACAAAAAGTTTGTGGGTGGAGGAGCTCCTGAGAAACTGGCTGGCATGACCACGGACATCACGGAGTGAAATTCTCAGGCGTGTGTTATGCAGGACAGACAAGAGGCTCACAGTGCTCTTCTGGCATTAAAAATTTATGAATGGCTCCAGCAAAACACACCCTAAAACACCCCCTCCAGCAAAGCCACCCACCTAGGCTGAACACAGCGATGGAAATTCCCCGGGTGTGTGCTGGGGAACTGCTGAGCTGAAATCACCGATGACAGATTATCTGGGTTTGCCTGTGAGTTCCCTCCCACCCTCCCTCCCAGAGGTTAGATCTGTTAGTCATGAACCCTTTCAAAAAACCTTTTACATTTCATTTCTGTCAGCACTTTATTCTCATCTGCCGCAGGTGAGACTCCACCTCCGAGTCTGTTACTTCCGCAGTCATTAGGGCCATCTCGTCGGATGTGTGGGGGCATGTGTACAGCTGGTTTTCTTACCGAGCCCTTCTTCCGAGAGGGATTGTCTGCCAACTTTTCTATGGAAACATCATGAGCCACAACAGCTCCAAAAGCACACCCCACTAGAACAGATGGAAGGAGTTTATAAAAGAAGTGATTTCATTGGTGCTGGCCAAAATACTACACGTGTACCTTGAGGAATGCTGTAGATGGATGATCACGTGGTTAAGAAACTGGACTGAGAGTCAGGAGACTTAAGACTGAGTCTTGGCTCTGCCACAGACTCACTGGGTGACCATTGGCACATCCATTAATCTCTGTGGTTTCATTCCTCCTTCCAATTATCTTGCCTTTTTGGACCGTAAACTCTTTGGGGCCAGGAACTGAGTTACTTTTGGTCTGTACGACGCCCAGTGCAATGGCCTCTGAGCTCACTTGTCTTTTAAGGTGTTTCTGCAAACAGTAAATAAAATAATCAGAATAAGGAACCTTACGATTCTAACTTTGAAATCCAAAGGCCCCCAAATGTGTTTCTTTGGAATTAATTCCATGTTCTGTACTAGCTCACAACACTTTTTATTGGGGGGCAGGACTCTGGACTAGATGCAGTACTGATTCGGAGGCAGAGCAACGTCTATAGCCGTAGGAACATGTGTAAGTTCCAGTGTACAAATTTGCCTATAATTGGTGGGTTCCTCCCCTAAAAAATACCCCTTACCACCTCAAAAATCCCACAATGGTCCTGTAGCAATGTAAGAAAAGAATGGTCTGCCTAGCCCAGTAGCCTGCCTTCTGACAGTGACCAATACCAGATGCTTCAGAGGGAGTGATCAAACCGGAGAAATGATTAAATCATCCATCCCCTACCATCCAATCCCAGCCTCTATTACTCAGATGTGACAGGACACCCAGAGCACGGGGCCACCTCCCTGACGGCCTTGGCTATTAGCCACTGATGGGTCTGTCCCTTGAGCAACTCATCCAATTCTTTTTTTGAATCAAGTTACATGTTCAGCCCTTACAAAATCCCTTGGCAACGGGTTCCAATGCTTGATTGGGCGTGATGTGAAGAAACATGCCCCGATGTGGGTATTAAACCGGTTGCCTCTTCCTTTTACTGGGTAAGCCCCTGGTTCATGTGTTACGCGATGGGGCAAAACTTCTTTATTCACTCCTCCACACCCTCAGTGAGTTTACAGCCCTCTGCAATAGCCCGGTCAGTCGTCTCTTCGCCATGCGGAACTATCCCACCCTTGTTAATCTCTCGTCATCCGGAAGCTGTGCCATACCCTTAATCCTTTTCGTGGTTCTTCTCTGCACTTCGGTCCAATTCTAATCTCTCCCTTTTGGGATTGAAGGTGACCACAATTGCACGCATGATTTAAACTGCGAAGTGCACCATGGATTTATATTGCAGCACTATGGTATTTTCTGTCTGGGGGTATTTCTTGGTCATCGGGGGCGATGGAACAAGCCTGTCTCTAGATGCTGACTATTAATATTTGTCATTGGGCCTGCTGATGGAGGGAGTGGTGAAATTGATACTGGGGCAGCATGCAGTGTGCACCTAGCATCTCTTAAGATTGTCTGGACAGGTGGAAGGGCTCCGAGGTACGCTCCAGACAGCACTGGGAGGGGGTGCTGCAAACTGGACGGCACAGAGAGTCTGCTGCCTTTAGCCCCGCCCCTTCTTCCTAAGGCCCCACCCCTTCCTCCCGAGGCCACGCCCATGCCAGGAGCATGGAGCCAGCCACTGCATCTTGCCCAAGGGCCCAGCCTGGCTGTCGGCTCCCCATTGGTCATGGTTGCACTTGAATCCTAGATCAGGATCGTATTGGGCTAGGTGACACACACAGTAATTAACAGCCGCGGTCCTAAATTGCATTCAGTCTTAACAGGCACAGGGTGAGTCATCAGCCTTAATTTGCCCAGATCACTCAGGCTGTTTGTGGCAGACCTGGGAAAGGAACCCAGAGTGCCTTCGGTTCTTTAAGCTGCCTCTCACTCATGGTGTAATCTTGGATTTGCCAATTACATGGGCCCGAAAGGACTTTTAATCCAATCTTTTTTCCTCCCCGTTCCCCTTCAAAGTAGAAAAAGGACTTAGACTCTCTTCCTGAGCTCCAGGGCTCCATTAATTGGCTCCCTAGTAAAATTACATGGCATCGGCTGCCTGATCGTGATTGTAAATGACAGCGACGATCAGGTTTACCTTGTGACTTCCCTGGGGAGCTTGCAGTTAGTTTAGTCTGAACTCTGCTGCAGCTGTTCGGGTTCCTTTCTTCACGGCATGCGATGGCTGGACGCAAGCTGCCATCTTTCAAACCTCATTAGCATTAAGGGAAGAGGGAAAAAAACCAACATCCTTTTCTCCTTCCCTTGGCTGACTTTGCAATGTAAGGACAGAGCCTAATTTATGGCACACGTTCCTATTGGCCGTGTCTACACTGCACCCATTTTCCGGAAAAGGGATGCAGATTAGACAAGTCGGAATTGCAAATGCAGTGGGGATTTAAATTTTCCCCGCTGCATTTGCATGAACATGGCTGCCGCTTTTTTTTCCTCTTAAAATCAGGAATAAGGGACCTTTCGGAAAAGGCTTTATTTTCTGAAAGATCCCCGTCTAGACTGGCGCTTTTTTCCGGCAAAGCCCCAAGCCGGAAAAAAGCGGCAGCCATGTTCATGCAAATGAAGCGGGGAAGATTTAAATCCCTGCTGCATTTGCAATTCCGACTTGTCTAATCTGCATCCCTTTTCTGGAAAAGGGGTGCAGTGTAGACACAGCCTTTGAGTTTTATACGTCAGACCAATCCCTTCAGTTGTGTTTGCATGAAAAGAGGATTTGAGAGTACAGGTTGATCCTCTCTAGTCCAGCACGCTCTGGTCCAGCAACATCCATGGTCTGACATGACTTTAGTGAGCTGCACGTCCACTTATCATGGGTTTGGCCAAGCTGCTCACGGTCCCATCAAGTTTGTTTACAGTCACCAGGCCTGGCTCAGTGTTCTGTGCTGTTATTTAGCTCTAATTTACCCCTAGATACTCTCTAAGATCCCAGCAAGCAATGGAAGCATTGGTCAAGCTGCTAGACAACAGTGACCTCCCATGGTTCAGCAAATTCTGTGGTTCGGCACCAGTCAGGTTCCAAGGGTGCTGGAGCAAAGAGGTTCAGCCTGTACTCGGGTTTGTGAACATGAGGTCCTCTCTCCCTCACCATGGTAAAGGAGCAACTAATCCCCCCAAAATAGTTAATTATAGCTGATCCATGCATTGCTCAGCAGAGTTTGAAGCATCTTCTACTTCCCATGGGAGAAAAGGCATCCACAGGTCCATCACACTGGTTTGATATTAACCTTTGAGCCGGTCAACATCTTAAAACATCAATGACATTTTAATTTTCAAAAGTCCATCTCTCCTCCAAAGCCAAGCCAAACAGAAATGACAAAAATTCCCACCCCGTGCCTCTATTTGGATCAGCTCTAGAGTGGATTGGCTTTTTGTTCAATTTTTTTTAAAATCACATTTTGAAATTTCAGAGTTTGAGAAACCGGGAATATTTTCAGGGAGGAAAGACACGATCCTCCAAGCCTTTCTTCTGAGCATCTCAGGCAGGCAGGGGTGTTTCGATCCTCTTCATTCAACGTTCCTTGGCCCAGATCCTTAGCCCTCCAGCTGACCCACAGGTTATTGTTTCACACTTGAAAAAAGGAGCTAAGCGAGGAAGATTCTCTCACTTGGCACAACGGGCACCTATAAGATACAGGAGGGAATTTCCTTCTCTGAAGTGTTATTGACCATAGGCAGAGCACTGTGCTAGAAGGACAGATGATCTAACCCCACATAGCATGTGTCCAATAATCTATAGTGAGAGAAGGCTCAAAAA